TGATGAAATACTTGGTATCTGCCCGGACCATTGGAGGTGTACATCTCTCACCCCTTCTGGTCGCTGAGTTTCGCAGCGTCCAAAGTGTCCAAAGAATGGCTGCTCTCAATGTTTCCTCTGCGTAACCAAGCCGTCCTGGCACCTGTGTGCGTCTCGATGCTGAGCCCATCAATACAAACTCATCTGTCCATCTTTCAGCCGCTGCTGTTATCGGCACCGAAGGGCTTCTCCACCAGTCCCACAGAGGGCGAGCCARTTCACAAAACAGACAGAAGTGTTGCAGGTCTTCCAGCATCATACCCGGACACAGTGCACAACGAGGCGAAGCCTTATGCGTKCTTTTGGCACACCACATCGCAGTGGGTAAAACTTGGTGAGCAATTAGCCAAAGAAGTCCTGAATGTTTCACAACTGATAAGTCCATTAACAGTCTCCAGAAGGCTGGTAATGCTGCTGCCAGTCGTGGTAAAGCGTCCATTATCCAGTTTGTAGCCAGCCATCGCCTGGCCACAATCCAGTTCACGTCCAGTTTAGGCCTGGCAATTTGGTAGCCCATTCTGACTGAATACTCATGCAGCGGAATGTGAGCCCGACTTTTAAACGGATGGTCCCATTCCCAATTTCTCGGGTCCACTGGCAGGTTGTAGGCCGGTACTGATATAGAATAAGGGCGATATTTGTCGTCGGTTTCCAAAACACACACCGGCATCAAATGATGCAGTGAGGGGAAGGCCCTGTCAGGGCATAGGCGGTGCATCACGGGTCCCAGAGAAGTTGCCACTTCCATAGGCTGCYAGGAGGAGGTTCGAATGTCATGCGCGGGCAGAGAAGACTCCACCCGCCAAATGCAGTCAAAGCTATCCTCTTCCACGGAACTGTACCACATCCCGGTCACAGGTACCACTCCCGCGTGCAATGTGTCAACCCATGAGTGAGGGATCGCCTGTTGAAGCATCTGTGTGTGCTGTTSCTGGCGCCRCAACCCTATGAGTTTTACACTGAGTTGGGCCTGTGTTTTCCAATTGTGAGTTGTGACGTCCCAAATATCCGCTAAGGTGCCCACCCCGCRTGACAGCCAGGCGTCCCCAARTGCTCCCACCCCGAAACARGGAAAAGGGATGCCTTGTGGGGTTAAAATATAGGGGTTGTCAAAAAGGGGTTGGGTGAGCAGTCTTTCCGCAAAGAGTTCCGGCTGTTTCAATTTCGGTGCACAGTGTTTCCAAGCAGTCAAAATCCCATCCCACAAACCTTGTGGGGGTTTCTTCCTTGAGTAGGCCGGTGTAAGGATTGCCAGCCACAGGCAACGGCTGTCAGTCCAGTGCCAGTGATTACACAGAATCATTTCCGCCAATTGTCTCCAGGGGGCAGACGGCCCTTCGAGTATAGCCCAAACTATCCATCTGACCAGCAACGCGCCAATTTGTCTTTGAGGGTCCAAAATTGACATCCCCCCTTGACTTTTGGGCTGAGTCAGCACATCCCAAGCCACTTTAGGAAGGAAGTTGACCTCCCCCCCCTCCTCCTTCCAGAGGTAATGTGTCAGGATACGCCGGATCAGTTGCACCGTGGGTACATCTAATTGGCGAATGGCTCGCTGATACCAAATTGTTGAGAGTATAGCGTTATTTATCACCAGTCCTCTGCCTACGAGGCTGACCCCTCGTACAAGGAGCCAGGGTCGTAAGGCTTTCCATATTGCAGAAATAACCTGAGACGAATCCTGCAGCATCTGGGGCGAGAAAGTGATGTGGTGGCCCAACAACTGCTCTTGTTGAGTCGGCAACACCACTCTAAGGCCCCAGTGGTGCGGGGCCTGAACCCCCGGTGGGACCATGATAACAGATTTCGACCAATTAATGGCTGCTTGCGATAGTTGACAAAATAACGCGAAGGTCTGCTGGAGTGCCTGGAACGCCATGTCGTCCAGCGGGGTCAGTGCAACCGAATCGTCCGCAAAGGCCTCGGTTTTGAATCTGTCCCCTGACGGCAACAGAAGTCTGGGCACTTCCAGGTTCGCTCTGATCATGGCATGCATAACTTCTACGTACAGGACATATAGATAGGGGGCCACCGGGCAGCCCTGCCGCACCGAACGAGTAAGCACGACAGGGCTGGACAGCGCGCCGTTGACACACAGCAACGAAGTTGCTGCGGTGAGCTGAGAAGCAATGGCTCGTGTAAACAATGGACCAAAACCAAAACTTATGAGGGCCGCCTGGAGAAATTCCCAGCCGACCCTATCATATGCTTTTTCGAGATCCAATAGGAGAATTGCAATTTGCTCCTCCCCTGCCCCGACCATTTCCATGAGTTGCTCGACAAACATGACGTTGTGCAGGATTTGTCTACCCTGCAGAAATCCCGTTTGCGATGGATGGATCAAGGATGTCATAACAGTTTGCAATCGGTGAACCACGATTTTGCCAAAGATTTTGTAAAGGCTCGGCATCAATGTAATCGGTCGCCAATTGCGTATATTGGTAACCTCCCCTTTTTTGTGTATGAAGGTAATTATTCCTTGTAGCATCTCTTGTGGCGGAGACACTTCGTTCCAAATAGCATGCATCATTTTGAGAAGATTAGGATAGAGAAAGGGGGAAAAACGTTTGAAAAAGGCAGTCGGCAAACCATCCGCTCCAGGGGTCTTATGTGGGGGCATTGATCTACATGCTCGCACTACCTCCTCCATTGTTATCTGCATTTCTAAGGCCAGTCTCTGCTGGTCTGTCAGACGACGGTCCAGAGTGTTCCAGACCGTGTCGTTGAAGTCCAGCAACAATTGTCCAACTGTGTATTGGTTTTGGGATGTGAGCAAGTGGTCATAAAAGAGTTTTGCATATGCAGTAATGAGCGGGGTTGTTTCAGCCAGCGGGGCCTGCTCATCAAAGGGGTGACTCAATGCCGGCATTATTTGAGCTTGGGGCAGACTTCTCCTGCTTCTGAAGAATGTTGCCGTCATGCGATCCCCTTTGACCAGCCAAGAAATTCGCATTCGATGAGCTTTCGCTCTTATCGCAGGCAGTCCAATGTAAGTCAAATTCTGCCTAGTGCGTCCAAGCTCTGTCATCAAGGCATTTTCGTCAGGGTGTTGTTGTGTGGCCCTACGGGCCACAACGGCCATGTCTTCATTCCACCGTTGTTGACTGGACTTTGTCAATTTTTGCATTGATTTCTGGAATAGTTTACCGCGTACAAGCACCACCTTGAGTCCGCCCTGAAGCCAACCAGCTACATAGGTGAACAAAGGCCGGGCTTGACGCCATTTGGGCCAGAAGTCGGTAATGAACTGTGTCATTAATGGCGAGGACACCACCCGTTCTGGAAGAGCCACCCGGTCTAATCTCGCTCTTATGACCGGGTGTAGGAAAAGTTCGAGAAACATCGGTAAGTGGTCCGAGCCGGCTTGGGGGACCACATTGCATTTGGAAATATGTGGCAGCAACTCATCTGCCACGAAAACCATATCTATACGGCTTCGGGGCAAGTATGTTTGGCCCATTGACCCCGACGCAAACCATGTGTATGATCTGTCGCAAGGGTGTATAAGGCGGTAGGCATCAGAAAATCCYGAGTTTTGAACAAAAGTGGAAAGTATCACTGAGTCACGGGRCAACGGTCCCACACGAGGGGAATCAGTTCCTGKRAGCATCGTTGTATTCCAATCCCCCCCCAGGACCAAACGGTCCACGTCCGGCAAAAGCCATGGTAGGGAGYGAAAAAGCTCCRGGCGGGGTGGCTGCGTCGCCGGGGCATAGATATTAAAAACAGCCCATTCCTCAGAACCGACAGTGAATCGTACCCATAGCCATTTTCCATTATGGTCCCAGTTATAGTCTGTAATCTCGTACGGGAAGGTGGTAGCAAACAAAATTCCAACTCCTCCCCGCATTCCTTGTGCAAGAGCCCAAAGGTCGAAGCCTGGCCACCATCCCCGCTGTTCCTCAATGGCGGAAGCGTCTAATTTGGTTTCCTGCAACAGGGCAATCTGGGCACCCTTATTCCTCATGAGGGTCTTAATGAGGGATCTCTTAGCGGCAACTCTGTGAGATCCCAGACCCCGAACATTCCATGAGACGAATCGTATTTTGTCTAGCATGATGGTATATCTTCCCACGGGTGACACTTGAGCTGGAGAAAGTGCGCAGAAAAGATGCTCTTGTGCCATGGGATGTGTTCCTCCAACTGTGCCAATAGACTAGCCGACCAACAGTCATAGATCTTAGTCCCAGCTGCCATTTGTCCTGCAGGGTTCTTCAGCAATTCTAGCGGGATCCAGCGGAGCCCCGGAAGCGGGGCCTCGCCTCCCGCCGCCGGGTTCACAATCGCGTCGATAATTGGAAAAAACAGAATATCTGTCCTCCCTGTGTCGTTAGTTGGCGTAAGGCGGACCCAGTCCATATCAGGAAAGGACCTCGTTTTGTAGGCCGGGGCCAACCACTTGTTGACCTCCCGATGGACGATCCCGGGGAGAGGGTTTTCATGAAGCTCAAAGTGGGGGATCGTCAGTACTTCATTATGAGTCATCGCTCCCATGAGTTGAAGTATGCCGTCTTCCGCTTTGAAGACCAGCGGAATGACGACACACGGTCGACCTTCCTGCAGTGCTTGCAAGAGAGAGYCTGGGAAAGTCTGGGCTCTCTTGGGATCTGTAAGAGYTGTTTTGTCTGTTCCTGTTTYGRTGTCGGCCAGTGGGTGGGGTGCTGRCTGTTGAAGCTGAGCGGATGGCAACTCACTTCCTGCTGCAACAGGCCGCTGCAGTCTTTCCTGTCGCTGCGAGACGTCAATGGGCTCATCCTCCTCTGTCACGTCTCCCCATTGCATGTTCATGTAATCCCGTTCTGAATCCTTTTTTCTGTTCTGGGAGGGTGTGTACGGGTGAGGCTTTGCAGGTTTTGGCCCTCCAGCCAACAGTTTCCTCTTTACCGGTGTCGGCAATGCGTGCTGAAACGGCATATACACCTCAGGGCCCGGCTGTGTCGGCACAGTCCCCAGCGGTGTTGCCTGGACTAGGGCCGGGGCAGACATTCCCAGAGGTGTCTGAACGAAAGGGATCGGTGTGACTGGCGGTCGCAATGGGTCATCAACAGAGGGGGGTACTCCAGATGTTGAACCCGACTCCCCAGAGGTGAAGGGGACAATTGGGACAGCAGCCGAAGCAGTGCCAGCATATTGGCCGCCTTGGTGTCCGACGGTCAAAGGCGGGGGTGAAGTGACAGAAGATGACCCAGACACCGACATAGGTACAGATATTTCTTGGGCAACCGATATCGGGACCGACGCTGAGACGGCCACGGACATCGGCATCGAAAGCGGCACTGACATTGGTACTGACAGCGGGGGCGAAGAAGAAGCCACAGGCTACGGCACTGACATTGACACCGACAGCGGGGGCGAGGAAGAAACCACAGGCTGCGTTGAGGTCGGGACAGGGGTAGGGCGATGTGTCCCGCCTCCCCCTGATGACCCAGCCCCATCAGCCCCAGGTTTCTTCAATGCCTCGGCATAGGTGGAGGCCGACGGGTTGTTTTTCTTATTCGGGCACTCCTCTGCCCCCGTCTTGTGACCGTACCATCTACAATTTTGACACCAATCTGTATCCTGAGTAACAACATCGACTTTGACCCATCCATGCGGGGTGCGGAATTTCAAAAATGTTGACACCCTAGTTTTCGCCGCAGGCTGCAAGTCGTACCTGCGGTTGACCAGTCTGGGGTTCGCTTTATTCTGTTCAGGGGGGTAGGCTTTGAGAACCTCCCATACCGGGCTTTGACAGCCGCCAACAAAAAGGGCATAGCCAGATATGGGACTCTCAACACACGAATCCAGAAAAGTTTCTTTGCCTGCTGCTATTGCCTACTTTCGGCTTGCTCTGTCGGGATCTGCCATGGTTTATACAGCACTCGACAGGGTTTGCCTTCCACCATTGTCGATTGTTCCATTTGAAGAACATTAATCATCCAATCACGCTGCTGATGGGAAGGGGCCAAATAGGAGATCATATTTGCTCCTTCTGGTCTAATACGGCCCCTCTTTCCCCCAACCGCCGTCAAATCCCAACCTGCTTCAATGGACCTAAGCCAACGCTCTTTCTGAGCAAAAGTGACGTCACCACCGGCCCCTTGAAACACAAAGAGAACACAATGGCGTCGGAGGTACTCCACCGTCATTTCCGCTGCGTGTGGCTCAATGTCCACGATGACCATGTCTTCCAAGTCATCTCACGAAGTGCGTATGTAACGCGCCGCCACGTCAGCTTCCTCAACACCCGAGAGGAAGCAACGTTGCAGCATGTTACACAGCGTATCTGCTTCATTGGCCTCAGAAGCCATGTTTTATATGGAAAAGCAATATCGTCCGGATCAACCCTAGTAAAATCAGGGTGCACACAATGCAATCAACAAATTGAGGATCTCCACCGTCGTCTTTGTAGACGGATCCAGCGAACCCAGCGCGAAGTGGGGGGTAAACACGCGAAGGTGAATATCCAGACAATCCCGATGTATGTTGAACCATGCAAAACATAAAGCACCAATAAAACCAACGACTCGAGGCTCTCCACCAATAAAACCAACGAATCGAGGCTCTACACCGTCGTCGTTCTAGACGGCTGTACAATCGTGATCGAAGAAAACAAGTGGAGGCAGGTGCGACGTATCAAGATAAGCAAGCAAAAACACAGCAAATGCGTGGCCTCGCCTCACACCACCGTCGTCGTGGGAGGTCGTCGTCGTTCAAGACGACAAGACAAACCTAATCAAGAAAAACAAAACGAGGTAGGTGTGACGTCTCAGGATACGCAAAAGCAGCAAATCCGTGGAATCACCTCACTCCACCGTCATCGTGGGAGGTGGACGAACGAGCCTAATAAAGGGCAAGAGCCTACAAGCAAAAAACAAGCACGTGACGTGGCAACGCCCACTCCACCGTCGTCGTGGGAGGCGGGTGAGCGAGCCTAATCAAAGAGAACAAAAACAATCATTCGAAGAGGATGTGGCGGTGAAGGGTGAAGAGGCAAAAAGAGACATAAAGCGGGTATGTGGAATCGCCCGGTGGTGGAAAACTTACCCAGGCGGTCAAACCTGACCACCAAACATAGAGGAACCCAATCCGGTGCCCATTCCAGACAATCCACGGCAGAGTGCTTCCCAGCCATCAGATCACAAATGATCTGATGGTGGTGGTTGCATCAGCAGTGAACAAAGTAACCGCCACATTTGCTGGAATAAACTTGACTTCTGTCCGCACTGATCCTGACACCCTCCATATACTCCGTGATTGAAGGAGCCCTCCACCCAATGAGATAATTGCGCAACAGCAAGTAGAATACTGAAAATCTTCTATCCAGTGGGCTAAGGCCGATCCCACCCTCCTTTGGGGTTGGCCTTACCCCCAACCGATAGAAAAGATTCTGGCGGGAAGCTTTCTTTGCACGGGCATGCCCAGTGTTAAGGAGAGGAGGAGGGGAACAAAGATCTCCTAATTTTTTCGGGTAATACAAGTAAAACACTGACCGTGGGATCACGACTACTGCACGGCAGGATTGGGGTCACTCAACTGCCCCACAAACTCGTTTCTATCCTATCCCGCTGCCAGTGGGACCTCGCCCCAGTTTACACACCCTCAACACTTTTTTTCTTTTTTCTTCTTTTTTTTTACAGTCCGCGCTGATGCTAGGGATGCTGATAGTAGCAGACACCACTACAGTCTTCCCCCGAATACAACGTACGGTCATTATAGCTGAATTAGACTGAAAGATACACCAAATTCAGCTATAATGACCATGTGTTGTATTTGGGGGAAGACTGTAGCACCCGCGGAGAGGCTCCATCTATTGGTGGGGAGCAGCACTATTTCAACAAGCTCTTTCCGATGTTTTTGAACTTACTTTGAAGCCTCTCAAGCTAGGTAGTATTCAAATTTCAAAGGCTAACCAGGCTAGCACAAAGGGACCTGCCCAAAGATGGTTGTGCCAAATCATTCCATTCCAAGCTTTTCGATAAGAAAAACATGATTTCCCCCTGTAGCCACTGGTGAATTTCTGACTTTCAAAAACACAAGCCCACCTGCTCAATGGAAAGACCCAAGTCACCCCTCGGCATGAGCTGAAAGCAGCCTGAAATCTCATTAGAGAAATTCCGCGTTAAACTTTCACATAGGACATGACGCAAAAAAAAAAAAAAAAACATGACGCAACGAACATGCCTATCCTATCTCGTAAGCAGAATGCCAACAGGCCTTCATCTGACTGATGCGTAGATCCCTTTCCCCTCCATTCAGCAACAAGGCTCTCTCTCTC